ATTTACAGTTTTGTTTCTTGTACTGTTATGCCAGAGGCGGGTGCAGCTTTGAAACGTGCACCCGCATTGAATTGCTTATAATTTATATGTTCCAATTAAGTTGGAGAACGTATTTTATATGCAAGTACATATCTATATCTGTTGCTTATGCCAATGAGCGCGTCACAGCCAAATGTAATACAACACTAATTGGCCGCTCATGAGCGTCTAATGCCAAACGTGGCAGGCGTCGTTTGAAGGCAACAGGCCAGACAATGGACCGACTAGTTGCCAATGGGTGGGTTGTTGCATTGTAGTTGCTGTTGCAGCTTCGGCTGGTGCTGCTGGTGCTGCCTGCTGCCTGCCGCTTGCAGGCTGTGACTAAAAATGAGACTCGTTAAATATTTATGAGGAGCACGAGGTGCATGCATACCACACAAATACACGCAAACACACACAGACACACACATATGGCAAACATCCTGCCCAGATGTGTAAGCCATAATTGTGCACAGATTTTGATTTGGAGTTGCTGCGTTGCTACGTGTAGTAGCAGCAGCCCAGCCTCGCCTCGCCTTACCTCAGCTCGTCTTGCCTCGTCCTACCTTGCCCGTGGCCATATACATAGCTGTAAAAAAGCATCCAACTCTGAAAATCTGTACCCGACTCTTCGGTGCACTTTATTAAACGTTCATTCGATTCAAACACAGCAGCAATAGGAAGTAACCACGCACTGCTTGTGCAGCGCTTTTCAACTGCTTGAGATTTGCACAACAGGCTACTGCTTTGCAGGCAAAAAATTTGCACAATCGAATTCCTGAAGAAAGGTCAATTTGAAGCTGATTTACTCCATGGCAAGCTTGTTTAATTGTAGTGTTTATACTCGTCACTTAACCCTTCATAAATATTTAAAATAGTGTCTTGAACAACGAAACCGGCAGGTATTTGCTTAATAAAAAGGCTTCGTTGCCTAAAGAGTCACCATTTGGAAAACATTAAAACAATCATTGTGTTTTTACATGGAAACATAAACACTTAATAGTTTTTGACTCTATAAAAATGTAGAGAAATGAAAATATAAAAGTATAATAATAAATTATCAATAAATTAATTCCTTTTAAGGTACGCTTGCAGATTAATCATAAACTGCCTTAATAGCCTGGATGACAAATATTCGCTATCTCTAACCAATAATAATTTTTATCGAAGATAGATTGCAAATAAAGGCATTAAGGCACAGTATAGAATATTATGTAACATTAGCAAGGCACTTGATTTGTCCATTAATTGAAACCAATATTTGTAGTCCTTTAACTTTTAATGATATTTAATAATATTCAAATATAATATATAATATAATATTCCAAAAATCTGTATAACAAAAGGTTTAGTTACCATATCACCATTTGGAAAACCAATGAAGAGGGGTGTCGTTTGGAAATAGAACACGCTTGGCGGAATAGAATCGTTCTACATTTCAAAAATGTAGAGCAATAAGAAAAGCTATTGATTTAACTTTAGCATTTATACTTTACTATATAAGGACAAATTCAATTTAAATGAATTGTTTAAAGGTGTGTTTAAAGCCTATAATAACAAGAGTCTATGCAATTTTGTAGAGCTCATTGCAATATAAACTGTAATATACATAAAGTGTAATATACATAACAGGCATATACATAAGTGGGGTTGTTTCATCAGCCAATAACCATTTTAATTTGATTATTAAGAAAAACATTCTACTATCTATAAACCCCAAGCGAATCGCCTGAACGATGAGTATGTATGAGTAGTATTATTAAATACAGGTTAGCGTTTCTATATCACTTGATGTTGAGTTCATTTCGTCACAGACAATAAAAGTGGCAAAATCAAGTTCAACTCACTTATACCAAATAATTACTTGGTTAAAATCTTGTTAAGTAAGCCAAGTGGCAAGTAGCTTTCCATCCACATGGAACTGAAATGAAATACTCTCGCGATGAAAAGTGTTCAGTTTTCTTTAGAAGTATCCAGCTGATAAAAGATGTTACAAATTACGGAATGATTTCATTATACCCTACCCAGTTAGCCTTCAGGTATACACACATAGCTACAGAGTATGAAATACGCTAAGCCAAAGTGTAGTGCACTTTGTGGCCCATAGCTCTCGGCCATGCACGAAGCGGCAACACTTCAACGCCGCCGCCGCAGCCGCCGCCGTCGCTGCCGCATGCTGCCATGCTGCACGAGCACAGGACAGCGGCTTCAGCAGCAGCAGCAGCAAGCATCAACCAGCAACCAGCAACCTGTTTCGTGGGAACATTGCCTAGTCTGGCACTGAGCTCGAGCCCGGACTCGGGCTCTAACTTGAGCTCCGTCTCTGGCTCTGACTCTGGCTCTGACTCTGAACGACCAAACGGCTGAATGTTGGCTGACCATTGGGGCCCCAGCACAAACGTTTGCTGCTGCTCTCTGACTAGCTGACTGACTGACTGACTGACTGACGGAGTGACTGTCGGACAAACCAACTGACAGACTGACTGAGGAACTGAAGAACAGAGTGTTGTTGTTGCTGCTGGCCGCTCATAAATGAAACCTGTTAAATGAATGAAATAAAGTGTTATTTGCTCGACTCACAAATGTTTTTAGAGCCCCCAGAGACGACGAGGCTTTGGCTTCTTTTTCGTAGTTGGGCGCGCTGGCAATTGGATTATGCTCTTGGACTCTCTGTGCGTTTTTTATGGCACAACATGAGTTTTACACGTGTGCTCTCCATGTGTGTGTGTGTGTGTTTGTGTGTGTTTTATTTTTGTTGTGCTCTGGTTCTGCAGCTTGGACATAGGAGGGTAACTTTGAAAATGCTTCAAGACAGGCAGCATTCGAAGTATGAAGTTTAATTTTATTTCATTTTGTTTTTACTTTAGCGTGTGTGTGTGTATGTGTGTGTGTGAGAGTGTGAGTGACTTGTAAAATTTTGATTGTTTTTAGTTTGTGGCTGTGGCTTTGTTTTTGTTTACCTACAGTAGTTGTAGTTGCATGTTTTTGTTACCTTTCGAGTTGGTCTTCAACTTGAGTTTTATTTTTAACTTAATTTCCGTCTGCACACCCCTTTCGCGCCCCAGCAGGTAGGTAATTCATATTTTACTTGATCGTACACAGCCAGAGCCCATAGTCAGAGCCAATGGCACATAATTCGCAACTTTGGGATGCGGCAACCATATAATTTGTGGCCACTTCGGCCAACAAATGTTTCCCTGCTGATCCTCCAAGAAAGCCGAGCCGAGCCGAGCCAAGCACACGTAATTGCCGGTCTTTGGCTTTAGCCCTATAAATGCGGGTTTTACATCATTTAAAGTCACTCTGCGATCGTTTATTATTTCAGTACCTTCCTCCTTTCTCTTTCTCTCTTTCTCTCTCTCTCTCTCTCTCTCTCTGTCTCCCTACCTTTTCTGGATTTACATTTTATTGTGTATGTTTTAATTTAAATTTATATTTCAAAGCTGCTTGCTCACTACCGATGCTACTTTCGACTGCTGATCGTCCGCTCGTTAAAAATGTTGGCTTAATTCGACAATTTAATTTGGGTTTATGCTCCTTAATTCCATTTATTGTACGGATACAAAATCTCACTGCCAAGCCTCTCCAGCAACGTGAAATGAGGAAGCTGTGCACAATGCGCAAAGGTGGGCGTGGTCGCATCTTAATGTGCTACAACTTTTGCCGATTTTTAGTGAAATTGGCACTTGGGTGAGCTACAAAGGGACAGTATTGTTAAAAATACAACAAATGCCTCTTTTTCTTTGCTCCCTTTCACGTTTAAAACATATTTTCCTTCACTTGAAGCCCTAATAGACTTTACACAATAGAGTGGATTTTACTCAAATATATTCGTACGTATTTGTGCCATATTCTCTTCCTTTTTATTCTCATTAAATAAATCATATTCTAAGTAACATGTAATGTTAAATAATCATAATGATAATAAATTATAATATCTAAAACATTTTGACTCAAAAATGAAGTTTTCTATACTTTAATTTTTCTATTGAAAAATTGACTATTACTAAAGGTATTAAGTGCCTAAAATTTCGAATTTCGGTCAGACCCCACCCGGAACTGGATCTACCCTGCAGCAAGTTCAACAGGTGATATCTCTTAATTGATTCCTCTTAATTGATAACCGATGGTCAAGTTAACGTCTCTCAACCAAATCCCCCAAGCACCCATACAACGAGAGTAGACTAAAATAAATATATTTTTATACCCTGTACCTGTACCCTGTAAAAAGGGTATATTAGGTTTGTGCTAAGTATGTAACATACAGAAGGAAGCATCTCCGACCCCATAAAGTATATATATTCTTGATCAGCATGACGAGAGAAATCGATCTAGACATGTACGTCCGTCTGTCCGTCCGTCTGGATGAACACGAGGATCTCAGAAACTATAAAAGCTGGAATAACCAAAGTTGGTATCCAGATTCTCCTAGGTCCGAGAAAGGACGAGTTTATTTTATTTTTGGGAATTTCCCCCCCCCCCCTTCACCCCCCTTCCCACGCTACAGAATTTCGTCAATACTGTCCACATTTCAGCTACATAAGCCAAACTTTGCACACGCAATCTATATACAGTTATCTACTTTTGGTTTAAATTTGATCCAATTCGGTCAATTCTAAGAAAAGTTATTAGCGAAACAAATTCTCGCCAGTACAACCCCCCCAAACTGCAGCAACAAGTTCGCTCTTCTTCTTCCTCTTTTTGCTGCTGCTTTGGGCGCATATAACTCAGTGACGGAAGTTTACCTGGGTACAGGGTATTACACTGTGGGGCTTGCTCGACTGTAGCGTTCTCTCTTGTTAACTATAAAGTCAGGGGTAACCCCACAAGCGTACCACTATCTCCAATCATTTGACTAAGGCATTGAGACTTACGTATTGACAATCATATCAGTTCCATTTTGACCCCCATAGTCGTGGCTGAACTGATACTGCGATAAGGCTTTCTATAAAATCTAAATTTGTTTGCCGCTTTATGCCATTTTGTCACAGTTACTTAGATTGGAAATACGAAATGCGCAGCCCAATAGCGCTGATTGCACTAATTTCTGTCTTCCTTGTAGGGAGCACTATAACACACCCAGCACCAGAAGCTGGTGAGTTTTATACTTGAGATTTATATTTCTATATAACACCTTAATGTTATTTCTAACAGATTGTGATATGGCCCCTTTTGTTAAAATTGGTGAGAAGTACTATTTCATAATAAAGGATAAATATAAGCTCAATTGGTTCATGGCCGCACACGATTGCCTTACAATGGGTGGACACTTGGCCAATATTGAGAGTGCTGAAGAAATGGATGCCCTATCGGATTATCTAATAAGCAAGGGCTACAATGAGGATTGGTTATGGGTAGCCGGCAACGATTTGGGCAACAATCGCGAATTTAAATCCATTGCCACTGGCAAGCATTTACCATTCTTTAGATGGTCTAATGGACAGCCGGACAATGCAGGTGGAAATGAGCATTGCATGCATTTGTGGCTTCGGGACGACGTGTTTCGTATGAACGACTGGCAATGCCATCAAAAAGCACATGCGATTTGCGAAAGACCGATTAAATGTCATTGCTTTATGAATACAGGAGGTTCAGGAATTATAGATGTGCGTTTTACCCACAAGTGAACTAACAAAAATTAAACTGCATTTTTTTTAGAATGGCACCATCAATAAAGTAACAAATTTCCCTTTTATATGATAAAACAGCCTAAATAAGCGCCACTTTCTATCCGAAGAATTAAAGGGTGTGAGGATTGGATTTGGCAACTTTGCAGGAGTTTTATTGCCCGAAATTATTATAATATAGAGATTGGCAATGCCATCAGAATGCACGTTAAATGTCAGTGGTTTACATGAAGTTCATTAATTAAATTATAGATGTTCGATTTGTGAACTATGAAAAATTGAATTGCAAATTGTTTAGAATGGCTTCATCAAAACACAAATTTCACCTGGAAATCAGGAGTCAGTCGGGAATTTAAAATCGGAAATTCAACCTCTGCTAATAGATTAAATTAAACTTTAAAATCTTAAAATTATTAACTAATACATTCTATTTATTCGAAAATGAAACTTCTATTTTTGTTTATCATTTCTATTCCGAATACCAAATGAAATCATCCCATTTTACATTCCTCATTTCCATTTACATACACTTTTCTCTTTACACGTCTTCTAAGATTTCCTTGAGTGTACAAGATTTGTTAAAAATTCCTATAACTCCATTAAGAGTCGAACAACTCCCCACACACGAACTTCAAAATGAATTTTCTTTACGCGAACCAACTGAAGCACATTCAATTTTTGTTTAATCTAATAAATTCAAACCTTTTGGTCCCTCGCATATTAATCAAAGCAGCAAAATGAGCGTTTTTAATGTTTTACACGTTTTTAATTAAAATTTACGTTGTAACAAAAGGGTTCAAACGTCCACTCCTCGGTTTAGTTCTCGTCTGAGGGGTGTTTGGGACCAAGGCGCCAATCTCTTTAGTTCCACTCCGACTCGGCGGCGGGTCAAACACACACTCAAGATCGTCAAGTCTTTTTCCATATGAACGAAAATTATGAGTTAAACGGCCACATTCATAGTACTATTTTGTTCCCATGAAAAAAAATATTTAATTTGATTGCGGTTTTTATGTCTTCATTAGCAAAATGGTAGAAGACCAATAAATTAGAGATTTCTGTAGGAAACAAATTACAATATTTGTGGCTATCTAAGTTGGCATGTAATGTGGCCATAGCCTATGCACAATCAGTGTGTGTATGGTTTTTAGAGATGGGCGACATAAAAGAAACAACATAGCTGGACACTTTAGAGAATTTACAAATTTGTCGTCCTATGCAAAAGCTATGTTGGCAGTCGATGAAAAAAAATGATTAAATTAAACGAGTTTAATAAACCATAATTTCTAAATAAAAAAGGTAGGTTTCAGAGAAAGGACATTTATAATTAAAATTATAATACAGACGAAAAAGGGAACCTTCGACCTGAGAAGGATTTATGAGACATACTAAATTCCGCAAAATTTCGCAAATGGCTGAAAGGAGAAGAGTTCAAAGGGAAAGGGGTTATTAGATCGTTATAATTTAAGCATAAAATCCGAAAAGGATTGTTAAAAGTTTAATCAGGTATGCATCTATTCCTAGTCGTACAAGAAACTGAGAAATCAGGAAGGCATAAAAGGCCAAATAAATCTATACCGCGGCAATAGATTTATCAAATAATACTTAGTCTTAAGAATTCAGCTACGGACATTTTATTACAATTCAATATCTTTCATTTATTTAATGTGCACAGAAATCTATCAGTTTTATGTAACTACTATCAAGCAATGTCTAATAATTTAGATAGGTCCCGAAACTATTTGCGGAAGTAATATAAACTTTGATATTTTTTGCAATAATCATTTTGTCTGCGGATTTCCATATGAGGCGAAACCTTTTTTTAACTTTTAGAGATATTGTTCATGGCACCACGTGGTATTTTTCCAAATTTATTTATGTCGACTATGGTTATCTATAGGAGAGTCTAGGTTATACAGGTGGACTGTCGATAGACCAGGTTGGCTCTTAGTGTTAAACTTTCATTTTTTGCCTAGCCTGTTGAATCGAACTACTGGCTAGTACTATGTACTATACTTAAATACTATTAGAATCCGAATTTTAAATTTTGGTTTATTACAAACTTTTGTCTTGTAATAATGCCAGCGTATTGTACGATAATATTTGAAAAAGTTATTAGCACTTAAATATAAATACAAACAAATTTATTAATCTTTGACAAATGACTGATTGCTACTAATAACAGATTTTAAATATCCAAATATCTATACTATATAATTTTTTTATTTTGCTCCATAAACTTATTATAACGTGTGCGTGCGTGTTTTTAAAATTCAATGTCGTGGCCGGCCATCTCTAATGTGTTTATAGGCTGGGCGAAAGATTAACGTTTGATTAATGAATGCGATTATTCATAATTTGTTGTTGTTATTGTGACCGTAGTAGCGTCTGCAAACGCTGGAATACAATATAATTGAAACATTTTGTGCCCGGCAACTGCACAAAATGCTAATTCCAATGTGCTCTCTGCATCTGCGATGGATTCAAAGACTGGAGATCCATCCGAACGACATGTGCGCAATTCGATTCGATTTCAAGATCATTAGGCGCGACATGAACATGCGCTTCCTTTGCTGCGGCTGCCATTATTGATGATGATGGGTAGACACAAACACAAACACAAACACAAACATATATGTTGGTTCGGATACCCACACACTCGATCTCACCTGTGTGTGCGTGTTGCTGTACGTTTGCGGCACGCAGCTCGTCAATCAGTTGCCCAACAACCGCCACTGCCACAAATGCAACCGGTTTGTGCTCCACTTCGTTATAGTACAAGTATATCGGGGATTTTTTATACGCCTTTGCTGTTGTTGTTTTTGTTGCTTGTATTAATATTATCTAAGCATGTGTTGATTTTTCCTAGGCCGCGCGCTTTTCCAACTGTCAACAGCGCGCGCAGCTCGAATGATTTGCAGATTCTGTTTGACATTCAGCCGGTTTTTCATTAATGAACATGAGCCAGAACACACGCACGCACAAACACAGTCACACTCACACACACATTAATACATAACTATATATGATAGCAACACAAATCGGCTGGCTTATTTGATTTATAGGCGAAGCCAGCATCTCAAGCTCAGGCTAATTGGCGCTCAAAACTCAGCCAACTGCAGGATAATAAACAAATATTTGGCAATATTATTATAACAAAAAGTATATTTTTGATATTCACGCCCAGTGGTTACAAGGCTTAATACGAATTTTATATCAAAGATGAATGTACATTGGCGTAGCTTCATCTAAATTCATTATCCCAGATTTTTATTATAAAGCTCAATTGGTGAAGAAGAAGATCACACATCTATCTGTCAAAATCTAAAGTAACAACACTAACACTTTTCTTCCCTAAAGATTACATTTCTTTTTCGTACCACAACAACTAGAATAATACCCGATCCCTGGGGAGCTCAAAATTTAGAGCTGGCACCAGATAGAAGGCAAAAAGAAAACTTGTGGGCTTAACAAATTTAACTACTTATTTCTCTCGACAAATGAATCTCTTTGTTTTTAGGGAAATTTTATTTTATTAAGACAGACAATTTGTCTGTTGAGAATATATTTAATACAAAATATTGGAAATCTCTGGCCCCATTGCGAAAGGCTTGTTATTCAGTCTAAAAAGCTAGGCCTATTTATAATTTATTTTTCTTGCTGGATAATCATTCAATCCATTTGCTCTTAAAACTGAAGTTCCATCATTAGCTAAGCTTATTTCTGACTACACTTTTTATACCCTGTACCCGTAGGGTAAAAAGGGTATATTAGGTTTGTGCAAAGTATGTAACATACAGAAGGAAGCATCTCCGACCCCATAAAGTATATATATTCTTGATCAGAATGACGAGAGAAATCGATCTAGACAAGCCCGTCCGTCCGTCCGTCTGTCCGTCTGGATGAACGCGAGGATCTCAGAAACTATAAAAGCTAGAATAACCAAAGTTGGCATCCAGATTCTCCTAGATCCGAGTAAGGACGAGTTTATTTTTTTTTTTTAATTTTCCCCCCCTTTCCCCGCTACAGAATTTCGTCAATAGCGTCCACATTTCAAATGCTACCTAAACCAAACTTTGCACACATAATTTATAAATAATACTGTTGTTTAATTTTTTTCAATTTGGTCAATTCTAAGAAAAGTTATTAGCGAAACAAATTCTCGCCAGTACAACCCCCACAAACTGCAGCAACAAGTTCGCTCTTCTTCTTCCTCTTTTTGCTGCTGCTTTGGGCGCATATAACTCAGTGACGGAAGTTTACCTGGGTACAGGGTATTACACTGTCGGGCTTGCTCGACTGTAGCGTTCTCTCTTGTTTTCTTTTAACATAAGATTTGCTGACTTTAACAAAATATTCAAAGACTTTTTCACTATCCCAACAAGTAAGTACACTAACAAGTAAGTAAACTAACAGTTTAAGGGAAGATATTTAAATGTAATTATTACTTATTGCTTCAAGTGAATTCCAAAATTCTCAGGATAACAAAAAACTAATTTTCTACAGCTCAAAGAAAAATATCGTCGGCCCAGCAAACACAACCAAATTGTTGTTTATTTTAAAATTGGTATCTACAAAAATAAATAAAAAAAACTTGTGCTGCCTATAGGAGTTATATGAGTCCACATTACAGTTTGGTCGATGTGGGATCAACCGTTTACATGTTTACTCTACTACCTAAATCCCATTATACTGCCTTCTCTCTTAATCGAATCGAGCTTGGGCTTGATGAAGAAATTAAGGCTGGCTACCAAAAAGGGTTTTCGGATGCCATATTTGGCCAGAGTTATAAGAAGAAGAAGAACAAGGCGACCCAATATTGCGGATTGTATATTTTTCCTATAGCACCATAAATACAATACAATTATCTAAAGAAACAAAAGGGTAATAATTTAATCTATTTTAAGAACATTGTATCGGACAGGATAGACAGGTTAAATGGAATTACTCTTAGTTAGAACCATTCAGTCACTCCATTCTCTCTCTCTCTCTCTCGCTCTTTCTCTCACTCTGGCTTTTTCTCTTGGTCATCATCAGTCAGCTCGTAAGCAAGACTTAGTAGACTTGGTAGATTCCGCGCAGTGCAGCGCCAGAGCCCTTAATGAAGATAATTTATTATGCGATTCCGTTTAATTAAAATCAGATAGCCTGCGCTCGTTCGATCGACCACTTGGTGGTCACAACTCCTTCGACATATTTAAGTATGTATGCCAGCGTGCCAAGCGGTCCAGTCTCGGTTGCCTTACTTGCATGTCCAGACGATCTCACACCAGTGCCCGTTCCTCTCCACCACGATATGTGGACATTGTTGTTGTTGCTGTTGTTGGTCTCGTTGTTATTGTTAATTTCCCAGCGCAGTCGAACAAGATTTCGCGTTAAGTTCAACAACTCGAACAAAGAGCGGAAAGATGAACCGAACCCAACAAAGTTGTTGCGGTGGCCCCATC